GTTGAATGCTGTCTTTACAGGCAGTTTATCCCGAGTATATTATTCCAGGGACAAAGTATAAATATTTCCAGGAAGTGCACATTAATTAAAAGGTTATTGGCCAAAGAGAATTGCCTCCTGGGTCAGAGCTTAGAGGGACCGCTGTTCTCCTAATGAGAAGATAAAGAGCATTTCTCCCTTCCTCTGCAGGATGTGCCTATCAGTATAAACGCTTTTCACAGCCATACAGGGAATAATTATTAAAACAGAGGAACATACAGCCAAGCATGTGAATTATTTTAAGAAAACAAGTCCTGCTCTCGTAATCAGTTGCTGATGGAAGGATGAGCAGTAACCCGCTGCTTCACTCACACTGAGTTTCTTGGGCTACAGCAGTTCTTGACTATGATCTTTCCAGGCTGATTATCTCTTACTTTTCCAGTACATAACTGAATTACCCAAATGAGCATTATTTAAAGAAAATATATGGGTGAATCCTAACCGTGTGATCTTCTGTTGGGGACTGGTTCCCTGGCATAGTCAGCTGTCACGAGCACTGCTACCAATCCCCCCCAGCCTTTCACCTCTCCCCACCGGTCACCGGGACCACCCCTCAAACGCTAACTCCTCATCTGAACGTGGAGGTATCGTTAGGGTTGTTCAGCCATGGGAGAGGGAATATCTGTGTTTTAAGACAGAAATTTTTTCAGTAATTTCACAGAGCTGTGTGATGGGCTGTGGGGTTTTTTGTTTGGTTTGGTTTGGGGTTTTTTTTTGGTGGGGGAGTTTTTGTTGTTTTTTAATTCATTCTGTTTTTTAATTCATTCTGTGTTCAAATTACCTGTAAGTGACTTCATCTCCTGTCAGATCATTTCACCTCTGTTAATACAAGTTATTACATAACTGTGGTGAAACACTTGACAGCTCTTTCAATGCTCCAAAGGAATTGGCCCGGGTTATTACCCGCATTATAAACTGTAAAACTAAAAAAGCCGAAGGCCAAACCCACAAAAAAACAAAACCAAAAACTTCAGTTGCATCATGTGGGGATAGATTTCCTTTATCTGGAAAATACTAGCTGTTTGAAATACCCCCAAATGCCATTCTGTGAAGTAAATCAGATTCTGCATGTGCATTAATCCATATTTTAACTGGACTTTGCACAAGCTGGAAAGCCATCTCTAGCTCTTGGCTTCTCCTAAAATTAACAGACTCAGAAGAAGAGCCAACAGATTTGCAACTAATGAGTCTTAGAGAATTAAGAGTTGGATCCTCTGCATACATCGGTGCCTGCTACCATATATGGCCGTGTTCTCAATACGGGCTGTTCCGCAAAAATGTAATGATAACAGAGTCAAAACAAATACCTTTTAGGGACTAGTGTGTCAATCGCAAACGAGATAATAAAAATCAGTGTTTACATCTAGGCGAACGCAGCCAGAAGAGTATCACGGACCGACCGAAAGTGCCTGTTTAATCAGGCGCTTCGCCCTCTGGGGTTCATGGGGTTTGGCTCTGGCAGTGGCCGGGGGGAGCTGCGGGAGGTCAGCAAGGCCGGCTGCAGGGTGGGCTCGCTCTTACCGAGTGCCCCGCAGAACGGAGACGTGCCCCTTAGGTAACAACGGCAAAACTTCCCATTTCCCTTGTATCTACACAGGTGATAGCGCTTCTTAATCGCGCGCGCACATACACCTCTCAGCTACGCATCAGCGTTGGCGGATGTGCGCACCGACGCGCGCACGTGAGAGAAGCCCCGAGCTGCTGGGGTGGCAGAAGGTGCTTTCTGTGCTGCCATCTACTGTCGCCTTCCTTGCTCTCGGGGTTCTCTTACAGCCGGGCGGCTCTCGCTTCGTTTTCCCGTTAAAAAAGGGCATGTCGCGTCGGAGATCGCATTAGTTTAGTTCAGGGAATGATCAGAATCGTTCTGCTTAAACTTCATTCCTAGCAGATTGAAAGCATACGTGTGTAATGCTAAGGGATTTTTGTAAAAATGATTCCATTCCAATTTTCAAGCCTTTTTCCTGTTCAGTTCGTCAGTTACTTGTTAATTATTTGGTTTCTTTAAACAGTATGGGAAGTGCGCTAAGTTCCCTTACCAGCACTGAGAAAGTAGGAATAAACAGGTGAAGAAGCTCAGCAGCCCGGGCTGCTTGGTGAGCCAGGGCAGGGGTGATGGCTAACGGCGGGGGTACCTGTCACCCCCCGGCAGCGCACAGCACCTGGCAGGCTGCGTTGCCGCCGGCTCGGAGCACAGCTCGTGCTCTGCAGCCCGCATCTTTCAGACTCGATTCAGCAACAGCAGTGTTAGAAGGGACTGAGGGACAAGGTAGAACGTCTGTGCAGACTTTCAGCCGTGCATGGTCTCTAATGCATCTTCTCAGAACCCAGTCAGCAGTACGCATCCCGGGATAAACCCTTCGAGCGTGCCCGGTGGGGCTGCTCCCATTTCTAATTCACACACTAGCTGCAGGTTAAGTCACTGCACGCGTTTGCAAAGCAGTGCAAGAGTTTGTGTGCCAAACTGCTCCGTCCCAAAGCAGAGTGAGCCCCCAGCCCCGTCCCCAGCTCGCAGTACTCACAGGCAGGAGGAGCAGAGAGGGAATTGGAGAGGCGGGGACCTGTACAGCAACCAGCCGGGACAGTCCAAGTCCTCGCTGCCTTTGCAGCCTCTCTATATAGAGGAGGAGAATCTTGTCAGTGGGGAGGGGCCCTGGAAACCACGTCCTGCTGGAAAATCCTCTCAGTACCTGGGTTAAAAAACACAGCTTGAGCCAAGGCTCTCATTCCCCACAGGGCCTAACCCCGGGCTGCCACCCCTGCCCAAGCCATTCTTTAGGGAAGCGGGCTGGTTCTAGCTTTTGGAAAGGCATGAAAAGGGTGCCCCTAACTCAAAAGGGGTGCCCCTAGCTCAAAAAGGGTGCCCCCAACTCAAAAAGGGGTGCCCCTAACTCACAGGTTCGGAGGTTTTGCTCTTTCCTAGGGTGAAACCATTGGGCTGAGCAAATGGACATTTAACTCCTTCTTGCCACGAGCATCCTCACGGCTCACAGCCCCCTGCCTGGGAGGAGGAAAAAGGGCAGATCATGGTCCCACAGGGCCCAGGTTTCCCACCTACCATCCGCACGTTTTCGTGGCGCTGAGAGAAGTCCCTGAGTCTGGGGTTTGTTTGGGAGAGAAGGGTTATTCCTAGCGCAGCAGGGATGCGTGCGTGGGTGGAGGCTGCTCTGGGTCTCTGTGTGTTTATGTGACATTTGGAGCCTGGGGCCGGTTTCAGCCTCCTTTGCCCCTGGGGAGCAAGAGGGTCATTTCCCACCTCACCGGCAGATTTGCCAAAGTTTCTCTTGCAATCTGGTGCACAGCTCAGTTCCTGAGAAGGGACTGTAAATACTGTTTCATATGTAAGAAATACCTCCCTCTGTCCATAAAAGGAAGAAGAGAAGTGATAAATAGCTGAGGGGGAACAGTCCCCAGGATGCAGTGGAAAGAACAGGCGGCAGGCACCGCGTGCTGGGGGGGGGAGAGGAGGACAGGGCGCTGGGAGCCAGACCTGCAGGGGTTAGGGAGTGATCTGGTCCTTGTCAACCCCCCCAAACCTCAGTCCCTGGTTGCCCCCCTCCTTCCCCTGCTAGCCAACAGCCATGTGCAGCAAGACCTGTGGATGGAGACATCCCAAAAAGGGAAAGCTAGGATCCTCTAGGAATTCCCATCAACGTGCCAAATACAAAATACCGAAACAACCCCCTCTCAGCAACAGACTAAATATGGTGTATAGCCAAAGGATCAGAGCGCAGCCCTGGGTGAAATAATTTCTCTTGTCATCAGCAGCCCTGTCTTCTCTGGAAAATAAACCCTCCTGGGGAAGATGAATGAGGCTCATATTGGTGTCGGCATCCTAAAAAAAATACCTATGAGGGGAGGCTGGGCTGAAACCCTCTGCTGTCACCCAGTCGAAGTACCAGTGCTTGCAGGTGTGACAGACCTGTAGAACCTTCTAGCTCTGGCCAGCGGTGAACAAATTTGGGTAAACAGGAGCGGTGGGAAGAGCACTGGGGTTTCTTCCCGGCGGCGTTCAGAAACAGGAGCTAGCGACTCAGGTTCAGGCCTTAGCTGGTTCAGCCTCTCCTTGCAGATGGAGGGTCAGTGTCCGCTGAGGCGAGGGTCTGCTGCGCAGCCCTTGCAGGGCCCGAAAGGCAGCCGCGTCGTATCAGGCTTGCGCACGCGTGACCGTGTTGGAGCAAAGCCAGGGGAAATGATCTCCAGGACGTAAATCCAAGAAACTTGCCCTTGTTAGCAGAAAGCTCCTCACGGGGTAGGTCACCCTTGTTTTCAGTTTCTCAGTTGCAAACCTAGCTTTTACGTGGGAATACAATGAATATAAACACACGAAATGCAAGGGGATCCTCTGAAAACTAGGAGCACCTTAACCTTCATCGAAGTTACCCTAACAAGTTCCTTTTAAACCCATGCAGCTGTTTCACAAAACCAGGGCACGTTTTAGTAGTAGCTTAAAAAGGAGTGGAAATTATTCCGGCTGGTTTGCAAACAGCTGCCTGCGCACACACAGGCTGGCCGCCAAGCGCTGCGTTCACCAGAGGCAGCGGAGGGTGATGTACGAGCTGACATTACACGGAGCTGGAAAGTTGAAAAAATACTCCTGCTGGGTGTGAAACAGTTGCACTCTCAAGCGGTGTGGGGTAGGAACTGATAAGTGGAAGCATGGCTTCCAACCTTTGCTTACAAGTTAACATTAGAATATGCTAATGTCATAGCTGGTTGGACGTTCCTAAATGTGGGACTTTTTTAAACCAAAGTTGCCTCAAAATGAAAGCTGTGGATTCCCAGCGGATGATGCCTTTGTGGCGACAAATAAGCTTTATTTTAACGCACACACACCCTCCCTGATTTATCTGTTTTAATGACCTTTCTAGAAAAAATTAAGTATTGAGCAGCCTCACCTTAAAATATCTCCTTGCTGAGATTGCACTGTAAATATTGTACTTGGGGGGGGGGGGAAAGCGGGCTCAAGAAGGAATGAAAGGCACGTTCATCTGCCTTACCACAGCGTAACCTGAATGCAACAGAGAAAAAAGGGGAAAAAAGCATGTTTTTTGATGTTTAAAAATGCGTTTACCTGAGTTTCCCAACCGGCTTTCTCTGTGCCGACCTATGTGGTTGTAACGGAGTTGGTACTGGTGGGTTACCACCTGTGTTGAGCTGTGCAGCAGGAGGGACAGCCCGCGCCCAAACTGGAACAATTCATCACAAGAGTAGTCTGAGGAGGTGACAGTCACCCACTGCTTCATGTGAAGCGTTGTGTGTAATGCTGGCTGCAGGTCGACGGCGTAGGTGAAGCACACAGGTCAGCTCTGCGTCGGTTAGCCACCGGCTGCTGCGGGAAGGGTGTCTGTGCAAGGGTGAACAAGTATTTGGGTTTTTCTTTCCCTAAACATGATCACCCAGTGTTAATCACTCCTCCGGAAAACTGCTAACTGACACGGAGATTTGGCTTGATGCAACAGCAGCTCAGGAAGGAAAGTGGAACCGACTCCCTGGGGCGTGTTGATAAAGCTCAGAAAAAAAATTCCCCTGTGCATGACAGAAACGAATACCTCTGAAACAGCCCTGCTGCTGTGGAGTCTATAAACATAGTTTCCTCTGATTCTGGACAGCAAAAAGTTGGTTTTAAAGAACTGTTTTTAAACTTGTGGGTTAAGTTCTTCCAACATGCTTTCCAGATCTGATACCCACAGCGGGCTTCACCGGCTCCGTGCGATACCACGTTAAGGCAAACAACAGGCTCTTGTAACATAATTCTTTCTGTCTCCAATAAAATTCAGAAATGCGTTTTTCTCATTAAAACTCCCAAATTGCCCCATGCGCGTATCTTTTTTTTCATTCATGTTCTGACGTCAGTAGAAAGGATAGTTAACGCCAGACATCGGAGGCTGTAATTAATCTAGACAGAGCTTCTTAAATTAGAGAAAATAATTTTTGTGCACGCTCACCTAGGTGGCAGTTTCACCTAAACCCTGAACCTGTGACTTTAGGATTGTGAATTATTTTCATCTAAATACTGACCTCCCATAGCTTAAACTTCTAAGGAATGATCTTTCGGAAGCGCAGGCACGTTGTACAGGTTTTGCAATTCCTTTTCATCCATCAACAAGTCGGGCAGCCACAGGGCTTGCTACATGTCTGCATCTAGAAAGATGCTCTCATATTTCATGTCCTGTCAGGATAAATGCTAGACCATTAATAACGTGATTAGACCAGTATATTTTCACAGACATATTTCAAAGCTTTGTTGTACAAATAAACATCACTGGAAATACACTTTAATTTGATTTTAATTTGCTTGTACAATGACTATGCTTTGAAACAAGAGATTGTTCCAAAATCCCAAATCTGTACAGAGGGTACTGGAGACTTGGATGAAATGCATGCTGCCCCAAGAGCAAACAGGCCAGCTCCCATCCGCCCTCCCGGTGCAGGATCCCGACAGTGGGCTGAAGCTGCAATCCCCAGGGAAAACAGTCCTGAGATTTCCTTTTCAGTGGATTTCTTCTCTGATTTCAGATATACAGCTTTACCTTAGAGCTCAGTGATGGACACTCTTGCTTCTGCTTTCATGGTGGTGGAGAGCGTGAGCCTGCTGTGTGCTTGGGAAAGGGCAAGTACCAAACATCCCTTTGCCTTCTTCAACCTGAACAAAAATTCTATTTAATTTCTGCTACTAAAAATCCATTTCCCAGGGAGCTCCGGGGCACCTGGACAGCTTCTGTATGACATATGGTGGGAAGACAGAAAGCAGATGCCATGGCTTTGGTTACACTGAAAGATTTGCATAGCATAGGTTAGAGCTCCTGTGTTTCCCAGAGCCTTCTCCCTTGCCCTTGAAGAGGCAACTCAGGTTCCAAACAAGACAACAGTTTGACCCACTGGGTTACAGAGAAACAGGGGTCTAGCACTTAACCTCTGGAAAACCTAAGGTAAAAATTCAGGGATCTCTGTGGCCAGAGCACTTCCATCTGCATTTTTCAAAAGTTCACTTTTGCAACTTTCCACAGAGGCACTTTCAGCTCATTCCAGAATGGAAGTCATTTGCAAACAGCTTAGAAGACCATTTTTCTACTGTATTCTTAGACAGAAATTAAGAGATCGGGGATTGCATTAATGTGGCAGGAAAGACCCCAGTAACGAGGCAGAATCCCACGGTGGTAGGTTTCACACGTATGGCTCTGCAGCTACATAACCCGACGGTGGTGTTGGCACAGAGCAACAGTGGGGTTATGCACAGATCCATTTCCTTCCTCAACCCACTGGTCAGTTATAGTTGATGCAAAGCTACAAAAGACTTAGAGATGGATTTGACAGAGGTACATTTGCAAACACGTGTCCTCCCCTCCTGGAAACAGTCCTGAGCTACTTATAAATCAGCAAATGGGGAGCTGGCAGCATTGCCAGTCACACGAAGGGGATGAGCTCACTGCTGAGGCTTCAAATGGATAAATGCAACTTCCCCTTTTAACCTGTAACTGTTCTCTGCCATTTCATCCTGGAGAAGAGGCTAGGCTGCTTATCAAAATAAAAAATACAGCACCATTTATCTAGCAATTAAGATTTTTAAGAACACAACCCTAAAAACTTACTTATATAAAACTCCCAGTACCACTGGAAACATTAACATCAAAACGATTTTGGAAAAATAGCTAACCTGGTATTATTTTTCTATGTTATTTTTTGATGTACCCCTGGAAGTTTGGCTTTTAAAATACATTACCATTTCAAAACATGTAAATACCTCAGCTAAAAAAAGTTCTGGGAATCAGTAATCTATTATCGACTTTATTTTTAGCTTTGCCTGACTTTGATTTTCATGTTGTTTGGGAAAACAAACAGAAGTTCCTCTCCCTCCCATACAGTCAGTGTTACACCGTACAATTTATAGCAACTCCAGATGGAAAAGACTTACCCTCATTTGTTTGCTGGCATGAAGATAAATATAGTCCCCATTTCCGGAGAATTAAAAACAACTATTCCTCTAAAGCACTCTGTATATTCAAATTTATTTTCCCATACTTATCTGAAAGTAGCAGCTTCTTCTTAAAGAAGAATGACTGAAGTGCTAAGTTTGAACACTTCCAAAATATCACACAGAATAAAACGGAATGATTTTATTCAAACATCACAGGAAAGACACACAAAGACATAACTTACCATTTCTGCACTTTCCTCACTGTGTTATCTCACAATTTTTTTATAAGGTAAACCCAGGATTTTTTAGGCCCGATTCTGGACACCAGCTTCACTAATCTGACTTCATATACAGTTTTCCTTCTCTCAGCACGGGAGAAAGAGGCCTTTGCTAACATTTTTTTTTCAGTGACAGTAAGTATGACCCCATCATCCTGTCTCATGGGTAGATTAACAAGCTGAAATGGTCCCACTGGACATACTGGGGAAATGTATGCCAAGAAGAAATTCCTAAATTAACTCTTGCAGAACTTCACATGAGAAATTAGTGTATGAAAGGTATCATCTATTTACACTTTGTAGAACAAGGGGCTCTCCGATGCTCGTGCCAGCCATCCTTCCTGGTTCTGGAATTCTGTCTGAAGATGAAACACAGACAAATATTCTCACACATCTGGAGATCCAAAGGTAGGAGCGTTGTTTTTTACTACCATCAACTTTGATACAGAATATCATCACAAGAAACTCGGGCTATTTTACAAATACATTTTTCCATGCAACTGTATGAGAGAAGAGCTTTGCATTACTAAAGGTTAGATTTCAAACTCCATTATAGTGAATGAACTAGCAGGAACACCAGATCCCACACATTTTATTAGGATTCCCAGCCTGTAGACCACTTTATTGGAATATTCATTCAACTAAATAAGAAAGATAATTTCTAATATGAAAAGCATGTTAGATGTTAAAATATGAGACTTGGACAGTTGAGTTTATGAATGGACTTGATTGCCTGAAAACATAGCCTAAACAAACATAGCTAGGTAATTAGTATTTTAAACCCACTGCCTTTAGGTCTTCACTGACATACTGCACAAACACATGCAGAAAGTAATTTCAGATTATAGTTACTTAAAGGTTAAAAGCCTTAAAACTGTTGTATTTCTGTTTAGTTCAAAAAGCAATGTGCTGTCACGTCTTATGATTAGTGCTGAGTTGTGCAACTAACTCTAAATAATTAAATCCCCATGTGAAAGTGCATTGGAGTTAACAGGGCAAGGTGACCCTGCACAAAGCCAGTTTTAGAACTGAGGTGCAAAATTATAATTTAAAAACAATTCTTCTATACACTGTATTTGTTTTTAAAAATGGAGACGTTTCTATTAGGAATCATTATTTTCCAACAAAGAGATCATTTATAGCAGTTTGGGTATTGAAATTTTATTTCTTCAGCCCCCTCTTCTGGCAGAAGGGAAACAACGTTGCCTCAATGAATTAACTGTTAAGAAAACGTATGTCTCTCACGCTTTTTAGATGGCAACATCATGTCAGCCTCCTATTTTTTCACATTTTTGGATACAAAAGAAATGGTTGATTAACACAATGAGAAGCAAAAAGATCACAGAATCACAGACTGGTTTGGGTTGGAAGGGACCTTAAAGATCATCCAGTTCCAACCCCCCTGCCATGGGCAGGGACACCTTCCACTAGACCAGGTTGCTCCAAGCCTCATCCAGCCTGGCCTTGGACACTTCCAGGGATGGGGCATCCACAGCTTCTCTGGGCAACCTGTCCCAGTTCCCCACCCTCTCCAGGAAGAATTTCTTCCTGATACCTGATCTAAACCTCCCCACTTTCAGTTTAAACCCATTACCCCTTGTCCTGTCACTACAGGCCCTTGTAAAAAGTCCCCCCCAGCTTCCTTGTAGCCCCTTCAGGCACTGGAAGGTGCTATAAGGTCTCCCCGGAGCCTTCTCTGCTCCAGGCTGAACAAGCCCAACTCTCTCAGCCTGTCCCCATAGCAGAGGGGCTCCAGCCCTCAGAGCATCTTCGTGGCCTCCTCTGGACTCACACTAGATAGGCCCACTATTTAACATACTTCCTGAGAATTTAGGTTAAATTCTTGTGTGAAATTGCCAATGTAATAGGACTGTCTCCAGCTGACCCATTCCAGATTTGTCACAGTATAAGTGAGTACAATTTGGCCAGTTTAACTTTTAAGGAAAATGGCAAAACAATTTGGTGGATGATGTTTCTGATATTGAGAATTGGAATGTTATTATTTTCTAGTCCTTACCAGTAACTGCAGAGCAGCACAACAAACAGCATAGCTGTCCAATTAAAATGAGATTTCAGTTGTTAACAGTCCAAAAGCCTTATGAGAATAAAACTAAATGATTAGGTTTTTTTCCATCCTTCTAGCAACTAACAAATAACTACAGCTCCCTCAAGGTAACAGGAGCTCCACAGTACCTTGCACTGTTGGTCAATTACATACATTTGGCTGTCTGCAATTTCTAAAAATGTCTGCTTTATAAATAAAATACATTCTCATGTAAGAGAGAGACCTACTACTGACACATCTGACATTCAGTCAAGCACTTCCGAGGGCGATCAGATTTGCATGCTGTATATTCTGTCCCATCAGCATGCTGGCAGAGAGAAGCAAGCCTAAGAGTTGGTGTAAGTTGACCACTTACTTAAACAAAGGCACATAAAGGTGGTTTTAGAAATCATGGATGGGTCTTTCTTGAATTGGGTATAGTAGGACCTCTCAAGCAATACGTACGGTCAGGTCACGAGCTTGACGGTGTTTCTGAGGTATAAACACTGTTCTGCTGAAGGATTTTTCTTACAAAAGAGGTAAGAGGTTCAAAGCATTCCTTGCACAGAGAAAGAGGAAGGTGCACTGTGTCCAGCTACACGTTTATGCTGTTATAAGCATATGTATCATATAGAAATTCTAGTCACGAATAAAATCTCTGCAGGAACAACCCCATACCCACACCGACCTTTTTGATTTCTCTCAGTAGGTAGTTTGCCAAAGTTTTGCTTTGGATAATTCAGCAAAGACACTTTTGGAACGGCATTGTGGGTACTTTCTTCTTTACCACCATGTAAGAAATGAGAGAGAATTCCATACAAGAGAGGTCTGCTTAAGAGAGAAATAACAAAAGCAGTCTATGAGTTCTATGAAATATTGAGCATTAAAAAACCCACCCTTTCCTCAGAACTTCTTAGATCTTAATGTTTACCTCTAGAATATCTACAGATGTCTTTAATTCTTTAAAATACATTACGCCAAGTGTCGTTATATAAATAGGCAGAGACGTAAGCCCACCTCCCCTAAAAAGCTCATGCTAAGAGACCGTCTCAGCTAAGGTCCAGCTCCTCCACAGGTGAAGGACTGGAGTATGCTTAGCACAAGAACATAATCCATGTTCTCGCTCGTGCAGTACAAAGGATGGGCCTCTGGCAGGCTGCAGCCCAGATCACCACTGCACAGCCCAAATGCTTTTTCCTAAGCACCTGCTAGTCTCTGACAGCACAAGCTGCAGAGAGCGCAGCACATGTTCAAACCTGCTTCGGTACCTAGCTCATTAACGCAGTCGTACTGGATCATTGTCAATTTATATCTAATCTTAGAGCGCAATAATCTTTGTATTGCTCTACAAAGCAACTCACTGATATGCAAAGAGCATATCTGTTTTCTCCTTCTTACTGTATGGAAGACTGTGCTGGTAAGAGACAGTCTTTTGGGGTGCAGGTACACTACCTGGAGAATGCGACAGAGTTGGTAGAATTTAATGTTTGAAAATGGCCCCATATTTGACACTACAAATTTGCATCCAGCGTGTCAGAGCAGGCATGTGATCTAGTCACACTGCAATTGGTGAGAGCATTTGTATGTGACTTATAATAACACCAAACACCTATGCAGAACAGAATATACTGTGAGTTCCAAAATCACTCCTTACACTGATTTCCCAGTTGCATCTTCGACAATGTTCAGCTCTTTGGCAAGAAACTGTCTATCCAAGGGCACTTCAGGCTGGCCAGATTCTGGAAGAGAGATTGCCCCAAAATTTTTAAGACTGGTAAGAAAAACATCACCAATTAAACTTTTAAAGACTGCTCAGAAGACTCCAAAAGAGAATGAGAAAATGAGAGCACACATCTCCCTTTTAGACTGTTAAGATCTGACAGTATATTGTAATTGCAGGGAACTCGCTTAAACATTAGTGCTTCATGCTCATTTAGTTTACAATAGCATATTACAATTTTTATCTTCATGATAAAGGAATCTAAGAAAAATATTAAAGAAGTCTTACAATAAAAAGATAAATAAATCTGGCAAACTACTCCTTCTCTAAAGAAGTACCATTATCAACCAGATTCCATACATTAACTATACACAGACTGTCTCCATTCCCTCATCTTGAGGGAACCTTTGTGCCTGTAATTTCAAGAGAATGAAATATATCAAATTATTAAATAGCAAATGTAATTACTATGTCTAAGCACAACTACAGAACTTCAAATTTCAAATGCAAGTAAGCAACAGCTGCAAAAATAAGTACTGTACCACAAAAATTACACCTATCATTTAGATGTTGTAGTTCTCAAATATTAGCATTTTAGCACAGCCAGTAACAGTAATGCCTAACTGCCGTTGTTCAAGAAAAGGACCTATTTTATACTCTTTTTTTGTTATTAAAGCTGAGGAAACATCTAACTATATTTCCAATACAGCTTATATTCATGAATTCCCAGAATTCGTGTAATTCAGACTATCAACTACTTTATGTACATATTACTTTAGTTTAAATTATTCCTCAAAGAAACTGTGTTCATTTGTAGGATTTGTTTATTTTACCCAAATGCCAATGAGATAAAAATGTGGTATGTGGTTTAAAAATATTGTTAGCCATTTTCCAAAACAAAAGCAAACATTTCACCAAAGGTATTTTGACTGCAGGCTACTAGGAAGTTTCCTTGCTCCTGCATCAACTGCTCTGTCGAAGCATTTACCTCAAGGATAAGGTGCAAAGAGTAAATTTTCATAAAAACTAATGGTATGATTTGGTTTAATGGTGTGAGTAAAGCTGTGGAGACAGTGTTCATAACTTATTTAATATTTCCAAGGGAAGATGATTATGCAGCTCAGTACCACTTACTGATTTCATAGTATCAGTGCAATTACTCAACCAAACCGTCACTGTCTATTAACACAGTGATGACAAGAAAAACTCAGCCCCAATACCTGAAATTAAAACAGATGCTGTGTATTTATATTTGTTATATTCCAGGTATTCGCGAATTAGTTCGTTGATCAAGAGATTTTCATGAGACAGTGGTGGCCGTGGTTCACTTTGGTCATCCAGTGCATTAAAAACTTCAGCTCTGATCCTTGCTTTTATTTGTCCAAGAGCACCTCTTTTTTCCAGGGTGTCCCTTAAAACTATTACCATAAAAAGATGTATTAATGTAAAGCCAAAGATATTAAAGCAGCGTTTATCATCCACAGTATAATTTCAGCATATTCCGTGAAATAAATGACACCTGCACCTAGCATATGCTGGCAGGTAACCCCACTGGGACCGCTACAGGTAAAAATTAAGCCTTCAGAGAAGTCGCGATTACTTTTTTTTAGCAGTAAGCATAGGTTCTACCCATTTCAGAAGTGGGATGTTACTGTTACCAAGCCGTTTGTAACGAGTGACCGCCAGACCAAGGCAAACGACAAGGCAGTGCCTGCCTGGGGGGTCACCGACGTCTCCCCGCGGGTCCCCAAGGGGCCGTGTGAGGAGCCAGCGGCCCCACTAGCGCCCGGGATGACTACGAGACCCACGAGGCGCCTCAGGGATGGGGAAAAGCCGGCTGCCCGCCTCTTCGGAGCCCCGAGGTGTCATCGCCGCCTCCCCC